AAGCCAGGACTGGGACGCATCACGCACGGTCTCCTAACCCGAACTGACGTTTTGATCTCCTTCCTGTTGCCTAGAGCCCCACCGCATGCTCGCGGCCCAAGGGAGGACGGATCCATTTCCCTCCCCCCCCTGCAGGCCCCCTGCTCCTCCCGAGAGTGCCGACAGGAGCCCCCCCACCCCCCGCGCGCATCGAGGCCGACCGCTAGGACTCCAGACTCCACGTCACCCCGCTGCTCCCTGACGCTGCTCCGCTGGGGGGCTCCAGAGCTGCCTGCAAAGAGAACCATTAAACCAGCTGAAGCGTAGGGGCCCCCTAGTCCGCACACATGCTGGCTGTTGGGTGCGTTCATCTGGGCTGTAGCCAAGTGACAGTGAAGGCTCCGATGTTTGTTCATCGAGCCAGGCACGCCCGCGACCCCCCCCCCCTTTTTTTCCTTTTTCTTGCAGACTCTTGCTCAGTCTTCTCTCTAGACCCAACCTCTTTGCCCAAAGAAGTTGGCTCTTTCCTCTTCTTCCCTGAGTAAGCCTTGGAAGGGCCTGAGTCGTGCTGGCGGCCAGTCCCTGTTAATTTAGGATGGGGGAAGTTTGCCCGAACATCTGCTCGAGAGACCGAAGCCCTTTATTTCATCTCTGCCCAGAGCAGTAGAAGCGTGCTTGATTTTCTCAGGCCTCTTCTGTTCTGGGCAGGCTTTCCCAGGGGCTCAGGCCGGGGTGTGGGACGGGAGGTGGGTTTAAACAGACCCCGGGGCTGAGTCGCTCTGAGTGCATTTGATGCCTTGTCTGCACCCATATTCCAGGCTCTTTCCTCATCAGCCAGTTCCTGAAAGGAGCCTCCAACCAGGGTTCAGTGATTTCTCTTTGTGGGGTCTTTTTGCTGAAGAGGTCAGCGGTCGGACAGTTTCTGGGCTCGGGCTGTGGGCTGAGCCCTGGGGAGTCTCGGGGTTAGTTTGTTCACGTGGCCCGCCAGTGTTTTATTGAGCAGCTATTCCATGCCAGACACAGAGCCCTGGGGATAAAGCACCCTTCCCTTAGAGACCAGCCCCCCTGAGTGTGTCTTTCATGTGCCACTTAAAATTGAAGACAGCAGTTCGAGCTTTCACTTCCTGTTGGGGACTTGTTTGTTCAGAACTGAGTGCAGATCCCTCATGGGATGCGCGGCCAGGCTGGATTCGCAGTGCTGCCCTTTGGGGCCTGTGGGTGCAACAGAAGATGGGCCTTGGCTTTAACTCATGGTTAAGGTTTTAATTTCTCAGTCCCGTGAGTTCTCTCTCTCTCTCTCTCTCTTTCTCTCTCTCTCTCTCAGTTAAGATAACAGTGATAAGAGCCAGCAAAGAAAATCAGGCACTCTGCCATCTGTCTCTCATATTAGACATTGTCTGTCCCTTTGTAAATTCCCTTCAGCCCATGCCCACAGGCAAAAAGTATTTTTAATTGCCAGAGAGTGTGTTATTTTTTGATTAAAAAATGCTTGTGACTTTTTCCAATATTTTATTCCAACGCTTTGGAATATATACCAAAAAATTTCAGAGGACACTATTTCAATAACCTGTCACCACCGGCCTTAATAATAATGCTTGCCAGTGTCTGTGGAACATTTCCTGCTGGGCGTCTATTATCTTGGAATGACCCCCAGGAGGAGGGTTTTCCCCACACTTTGGATACAAGGCAGAGAGAGGCGAAGTATCTTATCCAAGCTCACACAGTACATTGGGGGCAAAACAGGGATTTGAAGCCAGGTTTGTCTGCTCCAGAGTTGGGGGACACAGGAATAGAATGGGGACACACGGGGGGACATCCGTCCTGGCTCAGGAAGGCCTCGGGTTAGGGCGCACGGGCCGCTGCAGGCCTGTGGGGTCCTGCACTGCGCGGGCCTGTCCTCCATGTCCTCCGGCCCCGCGCTGCTCGCCCTCCCACCCAAGGCCGGGAGCTCGGCGAGCTGGGCGCAGGGATGCGGCCCACTGCTGCCCGGCTGCCTGGCGGGTCCCGTTTGCCCTGGCTGGAGCCGGGGGTGGCGGGGCGATGGGGGCGTGCAGGGAAGAGAGGGTTTCTGAGGGCGTGGTGGTGTAGGGACATCCCTCTGAGCCCCCACGGGGAAGCCCCTGGGGGCACGCCGGGGTCCTCAGAGGAGGCCGGCCCCCTGGTGGCTCAGGGCCTTCTCCAGGGCATGAGGCTCTGATTCTGAAGAGCAAGGGGCCTACGGCCCAGGAGAAAGGAATGCGAGTTGTTGCCTGTCCTGACGAGGGCCAGGGGTCCTTGGTTTGGGAGGGGCCCTGACTGAGACGGCGTTGGGTCAGATGTCCCCCAGGCGTGAGACTGACCTCAGGCACATTGAGGGAGGGCGTCTGCTCTCCTCGTGGGGTGGCGGCAGGCCACGCCTCTCCGTCTCTCGTCTCGAAGGCCCGCCGAGGCTGGGCACGCTGGTGGGGAGGACGGGGCAGGCGTGCCCTGGGAGAGCGGGGTCCCCGCGCCCTCTGAAGGGGCTGCCGTGGGCACGGTCCGGTGTGGGTGCCCAGACTGGCCAGGTCGTCTGCATTGGGTTTCAAGAGCAAACTCTGTGTTTTTAGGTGCAATCTCGTTTTGAAATGACAGCAGCTACTTTAAAAAACCTCTAAGCCACACTGTGGGCCACAAAACAAGCCAGGTCTCTGGGAGTGAGGCTGATTTTTTTTTTTTTTTAATGTGGTAAAGATACACATAATGTATTATTGACCATTTTAACCATTGTGTAAGTGGCATTAAATACATTCACAACGTTGTATAACCATCTACGTTCAGAACATTGTTACTTTTCGTAACAGAAGCTCTGTACCCATTAAGCAGTCACTCTCCCGTCCCTCCTGCCCCAAGTCCCGGGTGGTCTGCATTCTCCTTTCTGTGCCTGTCACTTTGCCCATCCTGTATGCCTCGTGGAAGTGGGATCACAAAAAAGAGTATTTGTCCTTTTGTGCCTGGCTTATTTTGCTTAGCATAATGTTCCAAGGTCTGTTTGTGCCATGGCCTATGCTAGAATTTCCTTCGCTTGTGAGACTGAATAGTTGTCCAGCGTACAGAGAGACCACGTTGTGTGTCTCCGTTCACCGGCCGGTGGGCACGCGGGTCGTGTCCACCCAGTGGACCTCCGCCTTCTCTCACGGAGCATCCTCCGCCGCCGCTGCGCCTTAGATTGTGACTGTAACTGACTGCAGCGGCTTTTCTCAGCCCCATCAGCAGCCCTTGGAACCGCTGACACTTTCATTTGCTCCAACATGAGACGTCTGCGAGGCACCTACAAGTTGTTGGGTGTTGGGGACCTGACGAGGACGCTCGCTCGGCCCCTCCCACAGGGGTCTGACCTCTAGTGAAAGTTGGTGCATTAGCCGCCCTTCCCGCCTCCCTTTCACATAAACCAGTGGCTTGCTCAGTCATTTCAGAAATCACACCTAATAGACCTGCCAGGCCGAGACTTGCAGACTGACTTGGTACAGAGGCTTCTGCTGGGTCATTGCTTGTTCATTGTTAAGGTCATCTCGAGCGCATCGGCTTTGGTAGCAGTCACAAGACTTCTTATTGGCTGCTTCGGGAAGTATGTTCTATAGTACGAAGTGCAGAGATAATGTACAGACACCAAGTTTCTTTGCTTGAACCTTACGAGCCAATACTGTACAGGTTCAGAGCTAACCTCTCACAGAAGATGCTGACAGCTGGGCTTTAGAAAGGGGAGTACAGGGTGGGGCTGAGGGTATAATGCCGAGTAAAATGTCAGAAGGATAAAGACGAAAACTGTATAATTTCACCATTTTGGAAATTAAAAAAAAAAGCAACCCTCCCCCACTGAACAAGACAACAAACTCATAGATACAGAGAACAGATCAGTGTAAACAGAGGGGGAAGGGTTTCGGAGGTGGGTGGAAGCAGGGGGAGGGGTCAGTCGTGTGGTGATGGGGAGTAACTAGACTTTTGGGGTGATCAGTTTGTATTGTATAAGATGTCGAATTATAATGTTGTACACCCGAAACTTACATAATTTTGTAAGGGGGGGAGGAGGTTTTTGACCAAATGTTGGGACATGGTACACACCCTCGCCCACCTTGGAGAATGATGCTGCCCACGAGCAATTAAAGGCTTTGAGAAGTCCTGCAATAAAGAAACCCATTTGACTTGGATTTGGCATTTTCCAAATGTTTATTAGCTTGTAGAATTTGTTTCCTATTCTCGCAAACCCATTTAATAACCTTCAGAGCCAGTGTTCCACAAAACACCCTGGGAACCCGGGTGGAATGGATTCGTGTGAGCCCCAAACTGCCCCACGGCCAATGTAGGTGGTCAGCAAGAGATATCTGTTATTTGCAAATGCAGAGTTTCATCTGGCCCGGCTTGTTGTCCCCAAACTGGGGAGCTAGTGCTGTGCTCCAGTGAAGGAGAGTTTACTGTTGAGCAAGACCTCTCGTCGACTGTTACAACGAGTCGTGGGAGATCCAAGCTGCCTCTCGACAAAAACGTGGGGGGTGGGCTCCCATGTTTCCACTCTCCCCACTGACGCAAGCCAGGATGTCTTGGGGACAGACTGTGTGAGCCACCTCTGTTCTCAGACAACCAAGAAGCCGTGTCTGGGACTGCCAGGGATCTGTAACGGGGCATTTTGGAAATAGTCTTTGGTTGAACAAAGCACATGTAGTAAAGTAAGATGTATAACGATACTACTTTTGTGATTTTAAAGAATGAAAGATAGGCGTTCAAATGTAGAGAAAAAGATAACGGGGATGGGATGGTGGGCATTTTCCCCCCTTACTTTCTGCTGTTTTCTGTCACCACCACACATTTCCTTTGCAAAAAGAAACACCCATGCATGAAAATAAAAATAGGATTGTGCCCGTATAGACTTACGAACACAAACATACCTGTACACCTTACCGCAACGGTATTATACAAAAACCAAGAGAAACAGGAGTTGGTGAGTGTTTGTCTTAAGTCTTTTGTCTCTGATAGTTCCAACAAAGTCTGTCATTTTTTAACTTCTCCAGATGGGCAGCAGATTTGGGAGATGGAAGCCACGGTGGACAAGGACAAGAGCCAGCCTGTAAGCACCCGCACGAGATGACTGAATGCCCCATTACGTTTCCTGTCCTCCTCCCTGTGTTCTCTTTGCTCCGTCTTTCCTTTCCTTCATCAAAGTCCCAGTGCCTTGGACCTGACAGCCCCTCAGTAGGTATTGAATTGATGAGTGAATTAAAAACACCCCTTGAGCACCGGGCCCTCTGATTTGACAGGGTGACATCTTGATATACTTTGATAGAGTAAGTGGTAGCTCTTTCTTTGCTGCGACTGAAAAGCCAAATTCCCCTTGAATAGAGTTTCACCTGTCAACCTGTAGAACGTGTCATGACTCCCTGTAGGTGGGCCGGCTCCACATGCTCGGATGGGAACTTAGATATTACCGTGCGGAAGTTAATGACAACTCCTTCCTTCCAGAACATGCTTTTCGTTGAGATCCCTGAGTATCGGAACAAGCACATCCGCACATCGGTGAAGGTGAACTTCTACGTCATCAATGGGAAAAGGAAACGAAGTCAGCCTCAGCACTTTACCTACCACCCAGGTAAGGAGCGCCCCTGGAAGGCCCCTGTTGGGGGCGAGGCAGCGGGAGCGTGGGCAGTGAGGACACGTGACGTCTTCTGCCAGCTGGGTGACCTTGGGCCCGTGACTCAACCTCTCTGTTTCCCCATCTATCAAATGGCACCTTCCTTAGGAGAGTTACAGAAATCAAACGCACATGAAGTGCTTTAGCGCAGTAAACAGGTGGAAAACTGATAGCGACGGTATGAGCTATTATTATTATTAATACTTTCCTCTGGGAGAGGCATATCTAGACTTGTTCAGCAGAAGGTTGCAAAGTTGGTGGCTCCTGCCTTGGTCCTAGATTTGATCATGGTAAGAGCAGAGGTGACTAAGCCCTGTAGCCGACCCCACTGTAGTGAGTCTCCCTGTGGCCATGCAGCGTTCTTGGGTAGATGACGGGGCCGGGGAGGCTCGTTCCCACCAAGTACCGCAGTCCCACGCAGGGCGACAAGTGCCATGTTGTAGTCCTTCATTTGTCCAGAAAATACCTGAGTACCTGGTACTGTTCTGAGCTTGAGGCCCGGCAGTGAACCATACAGATACAAAGCCCTCACAGAGGGGACTCAGGTAGTCAGCCGCATCGGCAGCATCGATACGCTAGGGGCCGCAGAAACAGGCTGCGAGCTGCCCAAGGCTTGAGACAGGCCCGCTGGCCACCTGCGCAGGGGTGGAAACCTCTCATCTGAGAGCGTCACCCAGAGTACAATTTCTGTCCTGCGACAGTTTCACAGGGGACCCCTCGGCTGCTCGAAGCACGAAGCTGAGGGGCGGTCCTGAGAGCCTGGCCTGGGGGGCCTTGGCTTGGGTGGGGTGCGTCCACAGGTTTGTGTGGCCCCAGCCCAGGGCTGACGTCACATGCTGTGAGTGGCAGGGTCCAGCAGGACCTAAAACTGCGGAGACGGTCTCCGGGACGGCTGTAGGCTGCATCGCCATGGCTCTTTCTAACACTGAGGTTCTCAGTTACTTTTCTGGGTGTTCTTACCTCTCACCTGCGGTGGTGAGGCCCTTGGGGCCCAGCGGGCATGCGCCTGTCCACACACGGCCCGAGCGAGAGCTCCGTGCCCCGGTCGAGCCAGGGATGGAGACGGTGCTCTCCGAGCAGCATCTTGAGAAATGATCTCTGTGGTTGGTGTCGAAGCTGCATTTTTGCTTTAGCCTCCTTGCCTCCTCCAACCCCCCACCCCAGGGGGAGGGGAGCCCGGATGGATGACTGGCCTACCACCGATTCATTTAATCCAGTGAAAAGAGAGCTGACCCCCCAGCTCCGGGGACTGGATGTTGGGGAAAGAGAAATTCTGGTGACTCTCCTAGGTGGGGAGGGAGGGACAGCAACCACAGCACCACTAGTAGTAGCAGCAGTCCTAGTAATGAGATAATAGCAACAAGAGCAGGCATTGAGCACTTACTGTATGCCAGTCACTGTGCTTAGTACTTTGCACACACAGCTCATGTAACCCTCTCAACAACCCCACAGGGGAAGCGTGCTTGTTACTGTGAAGTAACATGGGAAAACGGAGGCCCACACCAGCAGATCTCATTCCCCCAAAGTACTGTAGAACGAAGGAGGTGACAGTTGCCATTTTTTTTTAAGATTTTTATTTATTTATTTTTAGAGAGAGGAGGCGGGAGGAAGAACAGGAGAGAAACATCAGCGTGTGGTTGCCTCGTGTGCGTCCCCCCACTGGGGACCTGGCCTGCAACCTGGGCCTGTGCCCTGACTGGGAATCGAACTGGTGACCCTTTGGTTTGCAGCCTGGCGCTCAAGCCGCTGAGCCACCCCAGCCAGGGCATGACAGTCACCATTCTTGTCCTTCAAATAGCTGAGTGTCAGTTAAGTTCCAGGCACTGTTTTAGGGATTGGGGAGACCAGCAGCGAACAAAACAAAAAGGAAAAACCCGTCCCTTCGAGGAGCTGACATTTTAATGCAGGGAGTTCAGATAAATGAGCACGTCAAGTATGCAGAATGTTTCAGGTGGTGAGAAGTCTCATGAGGGACAGGCCAGCAAGGGGGACGGGAACGGGCAGGGCAGAGGGAGGAGGAGGGGCGCATTCTTCTCTGAGCTCCCCTCCTGGGGGCAAAGGCCGCAGGTGTCCCAGGGCTGAGACAGACCTGCCCAGCGCAGACCGCCTTTCCACTCTTGGAAAGACCTGTAGTTCAGGCATCTCCCAGGGTTAGGTTTCCGACCCAAGACCATTGCACAGGGAGCCTCTTGCCCAAGGCTAACAAATGGCAGAGCCCGGCTGTTTGCTCTGCCCGTTGGGACTCCCAGGCCCACGTTCCCAACTTCCGTCGGCTAACCCTCTGCGCGCGTCTGCTGCTCACTAAGAACGGTGCGCCCGTGTGCTTTTCTCGCAGTCCCAGCCATCAAGACGGAGCCCACAGATGAATATGACCCCACCTTGATCTGCAGTCCCGCCCACGGGGGCCTGGGGAGCCAGCCTTACTACCCACAGCACCCCAGGGTGGCTGAGTCCCCCTCCTGCCTCGTGGCCACCATGGCTCCCTGCCAGCAATTCCGCTCAGGGCTCTCGTCCCCTGACGCCCGCTACCAGCAGCAGAACCCAGCGGCTGTCCTGTACCAGCGGAGCAAGAGCCTGAGCCCCAGCCTGCTGGGCTATCAGCAGCCGGCCCTCATGACAACCCCCCTGTCCCTCACGGATGCCCACCGCTCCGTGCTGGTGCACGCCGGCTCCCAGAGCCAAGGCTCGGCCCTGCTCCACTCCTCTCCAGCCAACCAGCAGGCCTCGCCGGTGATCCACTACTCACCTACCAACCAGCAGCTGCGCTGCGGGAGCCACCAGGAGTTCCAGCACATCATGTACTGCGAGAATTTCGCGCCCGGCACCGCCAGGCCCGGCCCGCCCCCCGTCAGTCAAGGTCAGAGGCTGAGCCCGGGGTCCTACCCCACGGTCATTCAACAGCAAAATGCCACAAGCCAAAGAGCCGCCAAAAACGGACCCCCGGTCAGTGACCAAAAGGAAGTATTACCCGCAGGAGTGACAATTAAACAGGAGCAGAACTTGGATCAGACCTACTTGGATGACGGTAAGATGCCCGTGTTTCTCATTGCCGGCAAGGACTGCGCCCGAAGCGTTGCCCAGTTCCCTGTGTGGCCTGGGTGTCTCCTTGACCCCTTTCCCCTCAGGGTCCCTTCTGTAATTTAAAGGGTTGAATAAGATGGCCCTTAAGGCCTCGCTCAAGTCTGTGCATGAATCATTTCCCGGCAGGATTTTCAGGGTGGGCGGTAAGAGTTACAGATCCCCCCACCCACCCCCGCACCCATCGAACGAGAAAGAGCAAATGTTCTGGCCACAGGACTGTCCCCCGGGGTTGTGAACTGGGTCAGTTTAACTGCTTCCACTCGCCTTCCATTTGCCAAATTTAGACCAAGGATAGGAAAACAGAAAGGAAGGAAAGCTAACCTTTTATTCCTGTAGAGGAAAAAAAACCCCACTTTATAACCCTCTTTTGTGTGTTTGCGGGGGGAGTGGAGCAAAGGGAAGGAGAAAGCTCATTGAGAAATGGCTCTCTGAGAAAGGCGCATGAATGGGGGGCTCGCGGGCAGGCTGCGGGCATCTCGCTGCCACGCGCTTGCGGAACAGAGAAGCACATTGATGGGAGGGGAACAGCGGGCTTCCGCTGTGGCGAGCCCTGCTGACGGGGTGGGCGGGCCAGGGGCAAGTGTGGGGGCGGCTTCGTGTGAGCCCGTAGGTGCCTGAGTGTGTTAGCGTGGGGCCCAGCTGGAGTGTAGTCTTGTTGGAGTGGCTGGGTAGGTGACCGTGGTCTGTGACACTCCCCCAGGGTCTGCCAGATGCCTTTCCCTGGGGGATCCAGACACAGGAAAACAGGCGGTTTGGGTTTCTCGGTGGGAGAAGGAAAACCTATACTGCTGGCTGCTGCCCACAGCTCCAGCCCCACACTTCTAGAGACAGTAGCATCAGATGCACCCGAAACCTCGATTATTTAGGAAAATTTACCCTCAGGAGCCCAGCCAAGGAGTAGGAAGTAAGGCAGAAAGCTTCGACATGGGCACCGGTTATCCTAGAGACCAGCTGCGAGGTACCAGGTCCTTGAGTGGCAGAAATTGTTCTTGGTGCTTCCTCGGAGACCAGTGACTCTTACTTTCTGCGGGGTTTTGATGATGTCGGTTATCCGGGGGCACTGTGACTTCTAGTAGTTTCCACATCATCTTGCAGGCGAAACTATTAAAAACTTCCCCCGAAAGCATGAAGCAAAGATCTCTGGGCTGCTTCGTATGTGTAGCGTCAGACCGCCCCGCGTGCCTAACAAGGCTGACCTCGGGGTTTTGCTGCATTAATAATTGATCCATCTAATCCTGAATAATCAAACACAGGCTGAGTGAGGGTCACTGGGTTCAGTTTTGAAAGGCAGATCCATGTGCAATCCATTCGTGAACAAATTACACCCGAAAGGGCTAAGATAAATGTTTGATGCCTGTTTTAAAGGAGAATGTCACGTGGAAAGCTCAACTGATGCAGAGTCTCTGCCTGTTGCAAGCGGATGAATGAAATGTGGCTGTAACCGGACCTCCCGCCACGTGCACCTGGGGGCCCGTATCTGGGCTGAGGTGCTTTATAAATAAATGAGCGCCTGATTGGGGCCAGGTCACTTTCACCAGCTCCCTCTGTGTCCCGTGTTGGTTCAGTGTCCAGGGCGAGAAATGGGCCAGCCCCTCCCGCCCTGCCCGTCTTCCCACGGTAAAGGACGAATGGCGAGCGCCTCAAGCAGGCGGCAGGAGAGAGTCTGTGCTCCAGCCCCCCGCGACCCACCTGAAGCCCAGCGGGCCTCCGGGGGTCAGGAGTCACCTGTGCGTGTCCCCCCCAGCCCCAGACCCACAGAGGGGCTCCCTGAGAGAGGGGGGCTCTCACAGGAGCCTGCATTATGGAGAAAGCAGCTGGGAATGGAGGCCTTGTAAGGCCTTCATGAGTGTCGGCCTAAACACGGGCGGGTTCAGGTGGGAGGGCGCCCCCGGCTGGTCAGCACCCATGTGGGCCCTAACGCACGGCACGCCTTGGAGAACTGAGGGCGGCCGAATTGCTTCTCCCCGTGGAGCCTTTTCTTAAGGGCTTTTGCACCAGCCCCGTTCCATGGGATGGGAGGAGGCAATCCCTGATGTGAGGCTTTTGTTTTCTTTGTTTAAATTTTATTTTTTAGTTACAGTTGACATTCAGTATGATTTTGTATTAGTTTTCAGGTGTGCAGCCTGGCAGTTAGACACGTGCTTTACAAAGCGATCTCCCCAGCAGTTCATCAGCAGGCCTCTCAGCTCTTGGGCTTCACATCCCTGGGACCCCCAAAGGGCTGCATCGTGACCGCTGGAATGTTCAGATGGGTGTAGCCTCGTCTCCTGACGCCGGCTTTTCAGGTCCCTCTAACGGGCCTTCTCGTAGCCACGGAACCTTCTGGTTCCACTGCTGGCTTCATGGGTGGGGATTCACACTGCTCAGTTTGTTGTTTTGCGTGTATTGCTGACAGGTGAACTGGGAATTCCTGGGTCACCTCTCTAGTCTGATTAGGAGATATCCTAGGTTTTCAGGTTCTTTTCTGTTCCTTCCGTTGATGGCTCCGCAGGTGGTCTCCCCACAAAATACTATCTAGCCGCACAAACTCCAGCACAAATGTGCTTCCAGCTTGGGGCTGTTTCTCAGGTACCATCTATTTATTTGCTGTAGGATTTTAGCAAAGTAGACCTGCCTTGGAAACTTTGTGAGGGCTGGGATCAGCATTTGGGGGGGTCCCAGGAGGGTTCCACAGACGGAAAAGGAAGGGGCCACCAGCACACGGGGTCCAAACGCGAATGGGCATCTTAGACGTTGACCACGCCGCTCGCCTGCGACCCAGGGACGCCCTCGGTGTTTGGTTATCTTTCCCTGATGCTTTGCTAGCCACCCGGTGTCGTGTCTGGGTGGCCCACCTGGCTGCGTCGTGTTCTGTCTGCTTTTTGTCTCTCTCTCCTCTCCCCAAACTGCATTCCTGCGCGCAGACGCTGTCTGTCTGGGCTCTGTTTTTTCTTGGAACTCCAAAACGCAACTTTCAGCTTTCTCCACTCCAAGGGCTTGAGACATTTTCAAAAAGTCTTCTTTTTGAACTAGCAAAATAAGTGATATTCCAGGGCAGGATGCATCCCCGCTCCCTCTCTCCTCCGCCCACCCCAAAGCAGCCACTTTCCCTCAGTTCTGAAATGTACGCTTTGTACACACACTCACTTGTTTTTCTCTGCTCCCTTGTCCCCTTCTGTAACTAATGTCTTCTTCTAAAGCCCCTGGTTGTACCTGGGAGGCACCAGCAGCTCCCAGCAGTCACAGGATTCTGTGAATGAATCTTTCCCTCCCCGCTTCTCCCTCCCTCCGCTCCTCTCTCCTTCACCCCCTCCCTGCCCTCAGCAGGCCCCGCCTTCCCTCCTGGCTGCCTGCCCTGTGCCCGGCACTATTCTGGGACTCAGGGAGACAGTGGTGAACAAGTCAAGCAAAATCCTTGCTCTTGGAGCCTTTATTTGTTTGTTTTTTCTGTAGAGCTGGACATCAGCACCTAAGCGATAACTAAGCGTATTTCAGATGGCTATAAAAGGCAGGAGGGAAATGGCACTAGGTTCAGAGCTAGAGCGTGGCTGGATAGGGTGGTGTTGGCCCCCTCAGACCAAGTGCACAGCAGGGCTGCTCTGAGGAAGTGGGTTTGGGGAGGAAGTGAGGGAAGGGTGTTTTAGGGAGAGGGAACAGCAACGGTGGTGGCTAGGAGGTCAGAGGAGCCGCCTAGCGTGGGCGGGCTTTTGTCTGTAGCATCGTGTGATTTGATTTACCCTTTGAAAAGATCACTCTGGCTGCATTTGGAAAATGAATTATAAGGAGGCAAGAGTTGGAAAAGAAGGGGCTTACTTCACTTTAGACTCAGCCAGATATGAAGCGGGGGAGTGAGTCTCGCTGCAGGAATGTGGCGGAGGGGTGGTGGATTTTACAAGGGGCGGTGCCCCCTTTTGCTAACGTGGTCATTTCACATGTAACTGGAATTGCCAAAATGTGACCCGCTCACAAGTAGTTCTTGCCACGTCTGTCGCCTTAGAACGAAGGGCAGCTGTGCCTTTGACCGCCAGGGCACCTTTATCACGCCAGTGGGAGGGCTGGCGCCGTGCGGGACCCAGGCCAGTGGGAGCCGGGCACGCTCTCTGCACCCGTGTTCCTGTCGAGGGACATCTGGGTTGTTTCCAGTTTCGTGAATAAAACGTCTGTGAACATCGAGAGCCCTTCTTTTGGTGCTCACGTGGGAGGTGAGGTGCGAGTGTGTCTGTGTGCAGTGTGTGGGGGGCACGCGAAGTCCTTTTAGGTGTCGCTCATTTTAGATCTTTGGACCCTGGGACCCACCCTCATGTCTAAAGAACGTGCCTGGTGACGGGAGATCCGGGCGGCAGACCCAGGGGGGCAGCGAGCTCTTCGGGTATGAGCTGCTGTGACGTCTGCTCCGGCCACCGACCTAACCTCTCAGGGCCTGTCCCCTCACCCACGAAAGCTGGACCTCCCGCTCCGACACTCAAACTGCCGAAGGTGCATTAAGATCTGAACTTGGAGTTGCCAGCGAAGGATGTAGGTTTCCTCAGAGATGGCCCACAGTGAATACTTGCTCTGTTGATCGTAACCGTGACGGCCGTACTAGCCCTATTTCCCTTCAAGTTTCTCGTGGGGACTTCTCCAGACTTTACCTGTATTTTGGCCACTTAGAGACTTTGGGCTTTTGTACTTGAGAAGGATATGCTTGGTGAAAAACGAGTAGGAAAGAACCCCCGAGAAGGAGCTGATTGTGACTCGCAGGGACTGGGTTTCAGGCAAGCAGAGGAGCCGCAGGTGGTCCCTCTCCCCCTTGGGGCCCAGAGAGCCCTGTCCCCCTTCCCCGGGGCCAGCGTTCTTCCTGGCAGATTAAAATGAGCTCGCCCGAGAGGGTGGGCGGCACTGGAGAGCCTCCTCCCCATCCTTGGGGGAGTCCCTGGCGCATTGGGAAGAGCTGAGCAGAGCACGTGAAATTTCCATGGGGGCAGC